GAGTACTCGGTACACAGTTAAAAAAAATTCCTTTCTCCAAAATCTGGTTTTAGTTTTTAATAATTTGATGAATCTTTCCCCGTTCGTGTTCATAAATAAAAGTGTGTTACGCATAGCTATGTGTTCGGTCGTTAACAACAAACCCAATGTGTCCATTCTTTTGTTTTCATAATCCTAGCAAGCGATCTCATCACGTATTTTAACTCCTGAAGATGACAGCATAGTCTGTCGAAAGCTCGAGATTTAAGTCACTTCGCTATGAATTTATCGATTCCAAATAGAGAATCTAGTTTGTATTTCTTATCCAACTGGTTGTTAGCTACGGCAATGAATACATATATATATTTTTTTATATTCCAACTACCACGAAGGCCTAAGGCCTAAGCACCCATTGGGTACCGTGGGGCTATAGGGGGATACATGGGAAAGGGGGGACGCTACACGGACTCTGGCGAGGGAACACGTGTGCATGCAACATGCACACATTCTGGCTCCGCCTACGAGAACCGCCGGGTGGTACCTCCGCGTTCGACAGTCAGAGACAATCTACTACCTACGGACAATCACAACATCCATAGCCAAGAGAAAGATTTCTCCTGGGACGGAACTCGAACCCGCACAGCGCACGGCGACTGCTCAGGAGACCGAAGAGTCTACTACTGCGGCCACCGCTGCTGCGCTACCTAACTATATATATATATAAATTTTGAAGATGGATAAATGTAAAATCTATTCAGATATCTTCCTCAATTCTATATTGAGTAACATTCATGTAATTTTAGCAGAATGTTTGGTGTTCACTCTACACCGCACATATTGATTGAATGTCAGAGGGAATAGGAAGGTAACACAGGAAAATGCATGACCAAACGAGGTGTTGAGAGAAAAGAATATGTGGGCGAGCGGAATTTGGGGAGTAGCAAAGGCTCTAGGAATCCATTTTATAAGTAAGCAAATAGAAAAGATAGAGGCTAACAAGCCACATATAGCGATGCAGTAATGTCTCTGCTAGCACTACACAAAATTAACTGACTTTACTGTGCTCCCTCTTAGTAAAACCATGCTAGTAAACCCCTAAAATCACATCTTCACAGTTTCACTGGCAGAAACCGCATCCATCCAATCTCATCATTCCCTTTTTAACTAAAGATAATTTCAGCTGTTGCCAGCTAGAACCTGTATAATATTCGAATTTAATGGCTCTACTGCTGTTCAGTAAATAGCATCAATTCTGCGTGATTAGAGTCATATTTTAATCAACCATGTCAAAGGTTTAACTTCCTCAATGCTCATTTAAGGAGTCTTTGACAGTAGGATATTTATTAGCATGTTAGAATAAGTTCATCTAATCGATCAATAATGGAATAAAATTGTCCATCCTTGAGGCTGCGGCCTCTTTGCTACTAAAAGATACAACGCGAGCCAATAAAGATTCCGAAGTGATCCCAGCATCGCAGTTATTAGAAATACCGCAGAAATACTGAACATTCGGTATGTAAACGTAGTATTGTTAAATAGCTCAAATATTCCGCTCATTCTTATGTTAGCTATGAATCAGAACTGACTAGAATAAATGCAAGAGAGACATTTGGTAATTGCGTTGTTTGTTCTCCATTATAGATTTCCTAGTAAATTCTAGTAACGGGAAATTTTCGCTGGACCTAATGTTTTTTCTCTGTAGAGTGTATACTTCGTTTTCTTCAACAATCAATCAGTGGCATTTCTAATGTGTGGAGGCAAAGTCTACGTACCAAAGTACCATGATTGTTGTAGACTAGGTAATGAAAGCTGATTGGTCGTAGTTTTTACTGATTAGGTGAAAAAGAGCACACAAGGTTGCAGTCCACACAAAGCAGCTTCCCAAGCTAGAGTACAGTACTTCAAGCCATGCCTTATCTGCGCTTCATCAGAGTTGAATGGTGTTAGGGTATTTCTAGTTCAACCTATTAACGTAGTTTTTTCCACAGACTGCAGCCATTAATGAGACATGTTCGTGCTAAATAGTAATTCTCAAACAAGTTGAACGAACGAGTTCTTCGAATTACCTCTTTGGCAAGGAGCAGCATAGATTTTTGGAATGGTTGAGCTGCATCTTACTTCTCAGACAGCTAGCAGGTCGCAGCTAGTTTATTCAGAACCTCCGAATGCAAAGCCCTAAACTATGGTTCAGGATCGCTGTGCTAGGGCAGAAACAACATTAAAGCCAAAACCAATCCCTGTGGAACACCCGTATTACTATTATGGGTCCGCTTTTTGAACAGATTAATGAAGTAGAAATAAATGGAAATTGAAATGGTATTTGGTTGGTTTTTGTGTAGTTAGGCCGTCGTAAAATATTTTTACTTGACGTTTCGCCAACACGAGTGGTTGGCATCTTCGGAAGGTGTTCACAGTTCGGGGACTTATGAACCACTGAAATTGAAATATTTTTCATCTGGCTTGTTCTAGCAAAGTTTTTCTTCTACTCTCCATACAGTGCTTAAACAAAAAAAAATACGGAATCTCTTAGGATAATATTATATTAATACAAAATCTTCCAAAATCTAAATTGTACTTTCTAATTAATGGGAGAGCCAAGAATTATCGGACATACATTCAGATTCAGATTCATTTATTGATCCGGTTAGATCTACATTGTAGATATTGGATAAGTCGGTGTATACAGATTAAAATATAGATAAAATGAAGTACAATACAAATAACAATAGGGACATAAAAAAACAATATGATACACACATGGCAATAAACTATTTATTAAGGTCTATCAGAAGCACTGTGGAATGTGACAAAATCGTCTGGGTCATAAAAAGCGCAGTCCGATAGCTTGTTCCGCAAACGTCTTTTGAAAAGCACTATGGAGTTTACGTTTTTGATCTCCGGAGGTAATAAGTTAAAGTTAAAGTATATTTCTGCTGTTATGGGAGATTTTGAATGAAATGTATGATATGACACATGCCTAACTATATTATTTTTATTACGAGTGCTGCAGTCATGGAGGTCAGTATGCTTAAGATAATCATTTCTGTGCTGAAAAATATATTTTAAAAGTTTATAAAGATATATACATGCTACAGTAAGTATTTAATGTTTAAAAAATATCTCACGACAAGAAGGTCTGGACCGTATTTTAAATATAATGCGAATTAATCTTTTTTATAAGACAAACACTCTAGAGTTTTCACTAGCCTGGCCCCACGCAGAAATGCCATATGGACATACGCATAGTAGACATCCATTAATGCTGAGGTGTTTAGCATCCTCCCTAGCGTAAGTATTAGATACATGCTTTTTCCAAGCTTCTTACATACGGAATCAATTTGCTCTGCCCATCTTAAATTGCAATCAAAGCTTACACCTAAAAAAACAGTCTTTTTGAAAGTTACAACTGTCTTGCATTGAAGACTGAATTTAAAATTTGACGGAATTTTTGGTTTCATAAAATACTCAACTGAAACGGTCTTTTTTGTATTTATTATTAGTCTGTTTTTGAAGCACCATTGACTGAACTCATTAACCGAATCATTAATTTTTTCTTGAAGACGATCTTGCGATGAGTCAGCTTAAATGATATTTGTGTCGTCTGCATACAAAAGTAATTTTCCGTATTATAAGTGTGCAGGCAAATCATTTATGAAAATCGACAAAATAGGTGGTCCAAGGACGCTGCCTTGAGGTGTGCCCCAATCTAAATTGAATTCATCAGATTTTTTATCAGCGACAGTAACATAAAATTTTCTATTCTCTAAAAAGCTAACTAGACATTGACTCAAACATCCGCGAATGCCGACATGATGAAGTTTGTCGGCCACAAATGACGAACTTACACAATAAAAGGCCTGAGACAAGTCAAATTGGATACTCACTACGTAATTACCTAAATCAAGCTTGTCACAAACATACTGAACATACTCGATAATGCTTGTTTCAGTTGAGTAGCCTGCCCTGAAACCATGTTGACCATAGGTGATAATAGCAAATTTAAGAAAGTAATTTTCAATTTTCATTGCAACCACTTTTTCAATGATTTTCGAGAAAATACTTAATAGCGCAATTGGCCTATAGTTTTCAACATCACAATTTTCACCATTTTTAAATATCATAATTAACGATGCCAGTTTAAGAGCTGTTGGAAATTTACCAGCAGCAACCGATTCATTAATGATTTCTGCTAATACTGGGGCAAAGATATCCATGTTCTGTTTTACTAAATAGATTGGAATTTCATCAGATTTCTTGTCTGGCATATCACTTATCACAAATATAACATCATCAGTAGTGACCTGGGTGAAAAACATTGATTGTTTGGCTGTTTCACCAGTAGTGCAGGAATTCGACAGAACCGTAAAATTCATTTTCTTGCCAATTACATGGGATACATGTTTTCCAAAAAAGTTGGCGATATCAGTAGGGTTGGTTATAGTTTGTTTTTTTTATACTCCAACTACTGCGAAGGCCTAAACACCCATTGGGTACCGTGGGGCTATGGGGATACAGGGGAAAGGGGGAACGCCACAAGGACTCTGGCGAGGGAACACGTGTGCATGCAACATGCACACATTCTGGCTCCGCCTACGAGATCCGCCGGGTAGTACCTCCGCGTTCGACAGTCAGAGTCCGACTACCACCTACGGACAATCACAATATCCATTTCCAAGAGAAAAATTTCTCCTGGGACGGGATTCGAACCTTCACAGTGCACGGCGACTGATCAGGACACCGAAGAGTCTACTACTGCGGCCACCGCTGCTGCGATGTAATTACGTTATCGCAGAATAATTCTGTGATAACTGCATTTTCTTATTTACGTTTTATTTATCTTACACTTCTGAATGTCACCAAACCCATGCTTCAGTAATAAAAATATCGAAATTCCCTCAATGAATTGTAGTTCAAATTTCTAATTAAAGTTGGGTGTTCAGTGGTATTCATGGATATATGCTACAAAAAATAAATTGTCCGGTATGGTCTGACAAACCAGGGTCAACGTTTTTTACATTTACTACTTCTGGGCAGTTAGTAATTATGTAGTCGATTGACAATTTGCTGATTCCATATCTGGTAGATGCAATTCGAGTGTACTCAGTTATATGAGACTCAAGCTCAAATGATCCAAGCAGATCGCCTAATAATCTTTTTGAAATATTATTTCCAGAATAATCTATGTTGAAGTCGCCTGCTAAAATTACATATTTGAAGTTACTTGTCACAATCGAGCCAGTAGAGAATAGTCTTTCTACGAATATGTCATTAGAACTCTTATTGGGTTGTGGGGGCCTGTAGATACAGTTTATGCAATATATTTTCATAAAAGATACTGCACTGATTTCCATAACCGTTTCTAGAGAAAGGCTGTTAAGGTACTGGATTGGAGCGCACAGATGTAAGACATTTCCTGTGGAAAATATTGCCGTGCCTCCATGTATACGATTAGTGCGTGCAAAATAACTTACCAAAATGAAGCTTCCAAGACCAAGGTTTTGAATAAAACCATTATCAAGCCAATGCTCTGATGGTAGTAACACATCGATACTATTGCAATCCAAAAAATATTATAATCGGTCCATTTTATTAAATAAACTTTGAATGTTTTTGTTGAAGATTCTCAACTTGTCCGCACAATCGTTGCTCTTGCGGTAGTCAGCAGTTTCATGCTCTTCACTTCTCATGTGTACGAAAGAACTTGTATTTTTTATTAGCGTACCTTCCGGCCATTTGCTACTGTCAGAAACAATTTCTCTAACAGCAGAGTTGAATTTTATTTTAAACGAGTCAGTCCGACTGTTCTTCCAGTTAGGAAGCATTTCAATTTCAAAGTTAGTGTTTTCAAAAAACATTTACATTGTATGTTGCTTTATGCCAGAAACGCCAGTCCCCTGCGAGAATCTTCCAACAGATATCCAAGATTTTCGTTTGATTGCAGATATGGTAAATGCATCAGATGATCCTGTCCCAAAAATAATATTACTTTTATCAGCTGTCTGTATATTTACAACCTTTTAGGTTCCAGTGTCAATGAACTCTTTCGTTTTATATTGTGTTCTTGAATGAGGAACGTTTTTGTTGTTTGTTTCTAGTTGCTTTTGCTCTGGTTTGTCTATTTTATAGTTGATAGTTTCGTTTTTGTTTTTCTTCCCTACTGGATGTTTAGTTTCATCAGGGTTACAATTAACAGATGGTTTGTTGTGATCAACTTGATTGTTCGGATGTGCCATATTATGTTTAGCACCTTTATTTGTCAGTAGGTTGATTAACTCCACATTTGACTCGCGCAGCATCACCACCTCTTCATGCAAATCCTTCATTTTTGCAACCGCCTCACTCATCGCAGAACATCTAGCTTCGCTGAATGCACTTTTAATCACGTCAGTATTTAATATTTCACTCATGTCGACTTCACATGCGGATCACGCACATTTTTTCCTATTTAAGTAAAAAAAAGGAGCAGGACCTATAAGCGAGGTTTTGGATCCTGGAAATAACTGTGATAACAAGCTCTCATTATAATTGTGTATTGATTTGTTTCATTTTTTTTTCATGTTAGCGCAGTGGAACAGTTCTTTTATTTTTATGTGTATTATATCTTTGTGTATGTTATTATAGATCTGTAGTAGAAAGTCTTGCAGCCATGCGCTACTAAGTTAAATCTTTGAAAATGGGACAATATTGGACAAGAATGTCAAAATAGCTAACTTTGGGACTCTACAATCAAGTATGGGTTTCAATTAGCGAAACATTTTTTGCCTCTCTCAGTATTGTGATTCCGACGTAATGCTGACAAATATTCACATCTATACTTAGAGATGCGATTAACTTGAAATTTGAGTTACGTTGTTGGCCGAAAGCCTTAGTTACAGATCCTGATCATCTATTTTACAGAAATTATAATGATTATGTGGCAATCTCGTATAACGCTTATTTTCCATTAATAAGAATCCACGTATAGAAGTTCTGACACACCTCAAATAACTTACACTAATCACTTCGAATTGAAGAGAAACACCTGCGAACATATTAACAAAAGTTTCATTAACATTTCAGAATGTCTGCCTGTTTTGTCGGTGAGTGCACTTTAATGAACTGAGCTGGTATCTACATCTTTCAGAGTGTGTTGATCTCTAGCGCCTACATTGAGAACAGGAAGTGGTACCTACAAGTAGATGATTGGTTCTCACTCTCTATCTTTCAATAGTTATATTTCAATACATTTTTTTGAAATCATTTTGATTGAAACGAGCTCAAGAATATCTATATAAGTTCAATAATTAATGGTTTCACTATCCTACAAACTGAAATGTAATAGGTTATCGGTAGTTTGAAGATACTAATCCACAATGTCAACAGGGGACTGGTCACAACAGCCTTTTTTTAAATAAAGAGGTCCACATAATCAAAATGAGAAGATAAACTTTGACGCCTTCGGTTGATAGATCTTAAAAATACGGCAACATCATGCAGGAAAGGTCAAGAGGGAAAATCCGTTGACATATTTTCTTCCTCTTAGCGGTATTTAGTATGGATACTGTACTCGGCAGGGTTATTACGGGAAAACCGACGAAATGTCAACTTGCTGACTAGACTGCTCCTAGAGTTCATATAGTTCCTTCTGCTCTTGCTCGCTATGAGCGCTGTGAGCGTCAACCATAGTGACACCTATGGTGGAACGGACTCAACGACATAGTTTACGACGATGCTGCAAGTCACTTCGCCAGCATGATTTGTTGGTTGCAGAATGCCGAGATGGTCTGTTAAGTATATCTCTGAGAATATGTGAAAATTGGTTGTGTATCAGAGTAGCAAGATCGCATCTGGGTGATTGGGTGTATTGGACTGCATCTGCATGTGCATAGAATCATTGATATTTGCTATACCTATTACCTGTACCAGAGGGGATATTGGTGTTGTCTTTTCTGAAAACAGGTTAGGTTCAAATTTATATATTACGATTGTTCCAGATTTTTTACGTTTTCAAAAAGTCTGAGAAGCATTACGGGAAATCGCCACCGCGTATTTTCTACTCGAAGAATGTAAAATGTAATAACGCTTTCACGTTTCATAAATATTCACTAGTAGCTCAAGCGTCATGACATTTAGGCGACACGTACAGCTACACAACAGGTGTTCCGAATTGATATCTTATAGGAAAACCTACATAATGTCACAAAAACCAATACCCCTGCGGAGCTGCAGCACCACAGATGTATGTGAACAGAATTCTTGTCTGAGTTTTGTACATGGTAAACAGGTTAGATGATGATATATACTTAAAATAAGGTAATAATAATAATAAGATAAGAAATGGATCTTAGTTCAAACGAATATGTCAAAGTTACGATCCGCAATTTGACATAGTTACTCTTGAACCAAGAGCACTATTTTTTATATGTACTCAACGGATTTTCAATTGACATTATGAAAAAGGTGTAATTATGCGTTATGGCATTCAGTGCTTTGAAAGAGTTAAACGTTGCATTCCTATGAATGTATAATTATAATATAATTACCTACACAGAAATAATTATAAGCACATAACAGTGCACACAATAAGTATCAATAATAATTTCAACCTATTCCACAAAGTTTCTCTGTTTGTTCAGACAACCAATTTCAATCCAACCATAAAAACGTACGCCACATGCCTGTTGTGTATTAATACTGTCATTACGCTTTCTGAGCACATATCCACATATTCATTACTAGAAGTTTTATCATCACACACATTATACAGGGAGGAGGCTTGAGATAACTATATTTGAATTTGTATTAGGGTCATTCTATTTGGCATAACAGCTACAAGCGCATTGTCGGTCCCCGCTCGTACAGCGTAAATGACAAAAAATCTAAAATCAAGTTACGTCATAATATCACATATTTTTTTGTAGTCTCTCACCTCACGAAGTGACATAAGTGTGTATCAGTTCCCTGCTTGGAAATAAAATTCTCAAAAAATTGCGTCAGCGATAAAATTCCGAAAACAATTTTCACGTACCGGCTTAAATAGATTTACGCCTCTGCGTTAAAACTGGTTTTCTGTATTTGACCGATAATTATACAGCACCTACCGGCGCATGTGTCTCTAACAATACGTAAACATAACCTATAAATACTGTTGTGATTGTCGACTTAAACAAAATGTTTATTTTTATTGTCATTTGCTTTTTGTTTGTACTTAATATTATGTAGAGAATAAAACAATTTTTATTTTGAAACAGTATTTTCGATACTACCATGTCCAGTTTTAAATTGTTGGCATAACTACACAATAAAAGAAACAGGGGTCATCACGAAGTGGCGTAGATGTACAAAAAATATATTTTTTAAATTCACTTTACTTTTACAAAATTAACCAATCCCAAAACAAAGTTCTAGATAGTCTAGCCTAACAAAAAAACCGCAACGTGCATACTAAAAAATCAGTATGTCATTTTCAATCTTATTTATTGCTGATTTTCGTTTTATAGCTATTTTTAAAATGTTAGTTACGCTGGTACGTGCGGAGACCGACGATATGCACCAACTAGTCAAAAAAATAATGTCTTAAAAATGGAGGAACGACCAGTCAGGGCAAAGCCCGTGGCACAATTCCTAACAGACACTGTCTTATAAACTGACACTATTTGGCCTAGTACAAAAAGGTCACGCGCCTGTTATGCAGAGAGCAAGAAGAAACATCAGTGCACCTTTTATGTCATTGCTGAAGCCTGACAAAGGTACTGTAAGCGGTGTATATGGAGGGCTATTCAATATATGCATACGGGTGGAAGTAGCGTTTAGGTTCGTAGGCTAAATACCTACTGTTATCTAATCTTTCCGCCAGTCACAGCCGACATATTGATGCAACAATACCTGGCGAAACGGTGTCAAAATAGTGCAGCTTTGAATTATAACTTCTCTTGTAGCAAATTTTCAATAGTTGGCAAAGCTCGACATCTTGTGTACTAGAAATCCCTAGTTTGAGTCACATTTCAATGATCTGAAGAAGCTCTCAAGATGACACAAATCTCTGCAACACTGACAAGTCGTCATTATATGTATAGTCTAAAACGTAAGACTGTTTCGCATCCAAAACATAGAATAACTGACTTGCATGAAATTTCGAGAGAGAAAATTGTCTGTGACATGAGAAACTATCACAAGATTGAATGGCAGTGATGAATAACGTATGGGCTGCAATTCGCAGTAAATTAAGCCACATATTTCATTTACAGCAGTTAACCCTGTAGACTGTAGGAATCACATTTCATATTGTTACCTTTCCTAAGTTAAATGCTATCTGCTTTCTCTTTCACGAACATTTAGAATACAAGCAGAAAATGCTAATTTCCGACAATGTCGCAAATGCCAGCATGAGCGTAGTGGTCTCGCGTACACAGAAAAGCGTTGAGCATAATTTGATGTTTAAGTATTGCAATCACCTATTATGTATGGGCTGTAAATGTTGTTAGAAACATGAACTTATTGGAATCATTCAGAGGAAATGAACTCCGATTTCAGGAAACAAGGGAAAATCGTCACATTACGACATTTGGTGAACTTTTAGTAACTGCATAGAATAAAGTGAAACATAACAACTATATCGCTTGACTGTTCCCTACAATATTCGAGTGAGACGAAATCCTAAGCAACGCTGTAATAAATATAACGTTCTGCACAAATTAGGTCCTGATAAAAGAGTTAAAGCTGTGATTCCATAATATCACTGCAGCGATAAAGACCATACATCGTTACAATGCATCTCTATGGTCCTGTGAACATTGGTAGCTAACCAGTGTTCAATAACACTCATCACTATTATGCCAGTAAC